GAATGTTCTCCACTTTTTTTCGTCGGCCAAATCAGAGGATTTTGCTGTGATTCTTTTGAGCAACCGCAGAATGCGCATTTAAATGCTTCTATCTACTGATTTGCAAGATGCTAGCGATCGAATGATTTAGCTTCGTGACATGATTCATGAAAAGGGAATGACAAACTTTCAGGACCTAGGCCAGCTTTTTCTCATGACATGTTACAAAAAAGGGAACCATCATGGCCCTTCGACGTACATAGAATTGCTGTAATATTCAAATGAGGATAGCTGATTCATGCGTGACAAAACATTTTATTCATCGTTGTGTTCGATACACTCCACATTCACGTGCACTTAGTACGACAACATTTTGAAATCCGCTTATTCATTGGTTAATACTTTTGACGGTCCGGCATCTATGAAGATTTTTGCCGTTTCTGCATTCAATAAACTCATTATTGGGAATCCAGAATAGCACTTAACAATCGCGTGAGCATATTAACAACTGTATGCACATTGGCAAAACAATATGCCGTCATGTGAATTCAAGTAAGGGGTTCATTGCTACAATCTAGCATATCCGAACTAAATCGTTTGGAAGAATCATTCCACTTCGAAACAAAACACTTTAAAAGAAATACTCATTTGCTTGAAAAAGTTTTGAAATTTTATTTTTTAAATTATGAGTTTCATATTAAATGAACTTCAAGGCGTTCATCAAAATTTGACCTATGAAAAACAAACTGAATAAAATTCTGATCATCACCAAAAAACGCGATTGATTTATTGAATGATAATAACTTTCGGATAAAATAAATTGATGATTAAGTCTTCGATCTCCTTGCTCGTTCCAGACGTTTTCGTTTAATAAGATCATCATATTCCTTGATAAAGTCAATCACTTGTTGATTTTTGAGCAACAATTCTTCTGAGACTAATACTTCGATTACCATTCGAAACACAAACAGATACTGCTGAAATTTCTTTCAGCATTGAAATGGTATTTTATGATTACTTCAATTCCTTAAAACGGTTCTATCAACTTCAAAACAGTTCTGTCGACATAACTGTTGCGATGAAATGCAGTCTGAGCATGGCTCTAACACATGGTACTTTCCTGTTCGGAAAAATGCAATGATAGGGCGATAGCGGTTATTAATGTGTGCAAAACATCGAGTAAAAATTGATAATTTCAATGAGAATACAAAGATACTTGATCATTTTGAATCGCACCCATACGCTGATCTCTGAGATCTTTGATCAGTTCACCCATCACAAGCATTTCGTTTCGTTGCAATCGATTTATTGCCATTTCCGCAGCCACATATGCTCCCGACCTCAAATATTACTCTCAGCGATCAATCCAATCAATTTGATTTAAAACTGTTTGATGATACTTCAAATTCACGGCGATTTCATGCTTCTGAATATTTGCTTCCCTAACTTCTGCCTGAATGCAATATTTAGAGAGTGTTGACCGAGATTCAGATGCTTTCCGATTGTGTTCTCAGACGTCCTATTCCACAGATGTTACACATAAACAACAGAGAATTGCTCCAGTGATGAATACGAATATTACATGAAATTTATTTGAGATTACTGCGAAAAGAATGAACTCATTAAAGCGAACGGTTTTGAAATGGTGTGCATGAAATAGTTAACAAGCAGATGTTCTGAGAGCACCTCCCGATTCCAGCCCCACAGTGTACGATCACAGGCTTCTTTCCGGCATATTTACGCACTATGTTACGTACTTCTTTACAAACTGTTACTGATTCAGGTACGCTATGATCTGGCCATCCAGTATAGAGAATGTGTTCAGTCTAAAAACATGATAGAAGCATTGCTCCTTTGCACGAATGATAGATACTTTGGAGATTTCGGCTGCGAAGACAATTTGGTATGCATACATAAATGCCGGCGATGTAGTCAATTGTATGACAGTGTAACACTTTTCCTTTTTCAAAAATCCGCTAGGATTATGCAGAATAGTTTTTAAGTGCTGATAACTATCGTAAATCCACGCATATTAAGAAAAAACATGGGTCCAAAAGTCCGTTGACCGATTCGTTTGCAAATGAAATACAGAATGCATCAAAAGATCGCTCGCTAATGCATTAAACGGTGATCGAAAAAGTTTTTGAAAAACATTTGAAGCCGGAAACCTCATGCGATACTCCAGCATAAGTGATTCGAATTCTTGTATGTGTCACCTTCTTAAGCGATAGAAAATGTTTCGGTTTTCCTAAGATTCTTACTCGGACAGCACCATAGTCTTCACATTCACTTCCATTCTTTGGTATCATAACTGTAGAACGACCTCAAGTTCAAGCATGCTCATTAGAGAACATCGTTTATTGCTTAAACTAATCCATTGATTCACTGCAATGAACCGATGCCGCCTCAAGTTCAAGCATGCTCATTAGAGAACATCGTTTATTGCTTAAACTAATCCATTGATTCACTGCAATGAACCGATGCCGCATCGTAGAAATCTGTCAACCGATTCAGTGCACAAATTTTGATTTGATCTGTTCCAAACTATCAAATTATGTGCGAAGTTCTACAGTAACAATAGTATCTGATCAAATGAAACATTTTTGTCAAGCTCTTCCTGAACCAAGTGATTCTCAACCTTTCCCTCCCCGCACTCCTTAGAAAATTTCAAGATGCCCTAGCACCCCTACGATATCCACTCTGTAGCTCTTATCGCCTGTAAAGCCATCCCGCATCTCTTGAGGATGTGAGCCACCATCCCCCCCCCCTCCATGTTGAGAAACCCTGCCGTAACTGGAACACTTTTTTTGCAGAAATGTCCTAGGACAATCAC